TGCATGCCTTTAATCTCAGCAATCAAGAGGCAGAGTCAGATAAATCTCTGTGAGTTGGGAGTGAGACCTTGTCTCAAAAAAATTGGTTAGTTGGGACTGGAGAGATGGCTCAGTGGTTAAGAACACTGGCTGCTCTTGCAGAGAACCCAGGTTTGATTCCCAGCACCCACATGGCAGCTAACAACTATCTGTAACTCCAGTTCCAGGGGATCCTGGAATAAAATATTTTTTTAATTAATTAAACAAATGAAAATAAATACAATTAAGAAACAAAGTAATGCCATTTAAAATAAAAGCCTGGGGGCTGGAGAGATGGCTCAGTGGTTAAGAACACTGGTTGTTCTTATAGAAGGCCCAGGTTCGAATCCCAGCACCCATATGACAGCTAACAACTGTTCATAACTCCAGTCCCAGGGGATCTGACAGCCTCTTCTGACCTCCGCAGGCATTGCAGGACACAGGTACACTTGCCTACATACAGGCAATACATGCATACACATAAAATAAAAAAATAAATAAAATTTTAAAATTAAAATAAAAGCCTGAAAACTCAGATCAGAGATTAAGGAGCCAAGATAACTGTATACGATAATATGCCTGGATTAGAAATGGATCAGAGAGGACATTTGTTCAAAGGACATGATTTTCTTTTTCCATTTTCTTTTTATAAAATGTATTTATTATTTTTATTTTCTGTGTATGAGTGTATTACCTGCATATGTGTAAATGCACCCATGTCTGACAATGCCCACCAAAGTCAGGAGAGGGCATTGGATTCCCCTGGAACCTGAGTCCCAGACAGCTGTTAGTCTCCACGAGAACCCAGGTCCTCTGCAAGATGAGTCAGTGCTCTTAACTGCTGAGCCATCCCTCCAGCCCCTCCATTTTCTTTTTTCCTACTTTTTGTTTTGTTTGCTTTGTTTTATTGTTCTTATTTTTTTGTCACAGGACATGTTTTTGTTTTGTTTTAGAAAATATTGACTGGGGCTGTACCTCACTGAGAGAGCGCTTGCCTATCACGCCTAAGGTGTTGGATTCAATTTCAACAAAATAAGAAAATGAAAACAAAAAACAAAAATCTGGTGTTGTCAGGTGTGGTGGTACATATTTGTAATCCCAGCACTCAGAAGGCCTGCCTAGGCAGGAGGACTAGGAGTTTAATGCCAGCCTAGGCTACGTAGTGAGACCCTGCCTAAAAAGAATTTATTGTTGGGGCCAGCTAGACGGCTCAGCAGGGAAAGGTGTCTGTTGCCAAGTCTGACGGTCCGAGTTCAGTCCCTGGGACCCGAATGGTAAAAAGAGAGAACTGACTCTGGAAAGCTGCCCTCTAATCCCCACACATGTGCACGCACACAAAAGAAATAGAAATGTAACAATTTAGAAAAAAAAATTTGTCTTTTTGAAGCAGGGTCTCCCTGTAGCCCCAGCTGTCCTGGAACTCACTATGTAGACCAGGCTGGCCTTGAACTCACAGAGATCCTCCTGCCTCTGCCTCCCAAGTGCTGGGACTACAGGCGTGTACCACCACGTCTGGATTTTTTTTTTAAATATTTTTATTTTATGTCTATGAATGTTATGTCTGCATGTATGTGAGTGCACCCGTTATGCAATGCCCACAGAGGACAGAAGAGGGCTTGGATTGCCCTGGTACTGAAGTTACAGATGGTTATTAGCTGCCAAATGGCTGCTGGGATTTGAACCCAGGTCCTCTGCATGAGCAACCAGTGCTCTTAACTTCTGAGAGCCATCTCTCCAGCCCCCCAAAATGTAGTAATTTTTAAAATTATCATTCAGATTCTGAATTTGCCAGGCATGGTAGCACAAGCCTACAATCCCAACACCTGGGAGGTAGAGGCAAGAGGATCAGGAGTTCAACTGCAGCCTCAGCTTTATGAAACCCCATCTTAGAAAAACAAAGAGACAGGGGCTGGAGAGATGGCTCAGTTGTTAAGAGCACTGGCTGCTCTTCCAGAGGATATGGGTTCAATTCACAGCACCCATATGGGGGCTAACAACCATATGTAACTCCAGTTCCAGAGGGAATGCCCTCTTCTGACCTCTGTGGGCATTACATGCTACCGCTGGTGCACTTGCATACATGCAGGCAATACACTCATATACTTTATATATATAAACAAAGAGACCAAAAACGATCGTGATTCACACTTGCAATCCCAGCACTCAGGCAGCAGAAGCAGAAGAATCATTGCAAATTTCAGTCCAACCAGAGCAACACACTGTAACCATGTGAAAAAAATCCAAAACAAACGAACACAAAATATCTGGGCGTGAGGGTCCTTGCCTTTAAGACCAGCACTCAGGAGGCAAAGGCAGGCAGATCTCTGTGCAATCAAGGCCAGCCTAGTCTACATAGTTAAGTTCCAGGCCAGCTGAGGCTGTGGGGAGACCCTGTCCCAAAAACAAACAAACAAACAAATAAATAAGTAATGCTGGGTGGTGACTCAGTGCCTGTAATCCCAGCACCAGGAAAGCTAAGATAGAAGGACTGCCCACAAACTCTAGGACAGCCTGGGCTACAAAGGGAGCTCCCAGATAGCCTGGTCTAAAGTGAGAGCCTAAAGGTTAATATCTATGTCTCAAAATGGCACCTCCTAACAAGTTTGCTATGAGGATGAAATGAGTTAATTCAAAATTTTAGAGTAGGAAGACCAGGCCTGGCTGATGACACACATCTGCATGTCCAGCCCTCTGGAGGCAGAGGCAGGAGAATCACGCCAGCCTGGCCTGTACAGCAAGACCCTGTGTCAGTAAAGGGAGTGTAAGCCTTTGCTGCTATGATTTGAATTTGAACTGATGGACCCAAGTCCCCCCAAATGATGGACCCAAGTCCCTCCAAAATGATGGATAAAACTTAAAATCCCCCAGGCCTGAGAAAAACTGTACAAGGAAGTAAAAATGAAAAATAATTCTAACTGCTAAGAACAAGCTGAGCTGACCTTTTTCATGCTCCCTGCCCAAGCTGGAAATCATCCCAGAAATGCCCCCCTACCTCTGCTTGGCACATAGCCGCCGCTTGTAGTTTTTGCCTTTAAAAGAAACCTGTGAACTGGGCTCTGGGCTTCTGCCCTCCGAGTGAGGCAGGGGTCCGTTTTGCGCAAAACGCCAAATAAATCCTCTTGTTTGTTGCATCTCCTGGTCTGAGGACTGAGTTATTGGGGAGCGGCCTCCTGTGGACGTTGGGTACCCCAAACGGGGGTTCCAACAGAACTGTGTAGACACCAAGAAATTTCGATTGTTGCTAAATAGGCTCCAGATGCAGCTCAGTGGTAGAGCTAGCCTTTGGCATTCTACAAGGCCAATTACACTATCACACTGGTCCACTGAATCTGAAATACGGAACAGGCTGGTCTTTTCTTCTGCAGTGCTCAGATCTCAGGATTACTACTTACTCTTTTGGTGGTGACTTCATGCAACATACTTAACTGTTCTGTGCCTCAGAAAGAGGATAGGATCAATAATACCTATTACACAAGACTAGTCTGGCAACATCAACACTTGGGAGGTGGAGGCTGGAGGACTGTGATGCATTCAAGACCAGCCTAGGCTACACAGTAACTTTGAAGGCCTTGTTACCAAAAATGTACCTGGGGCACAAGGCCTGCAGTGGCACTGACTGTCCTCAAGTGTGAAAACCCAAAGGGACAAGCGTTGCCTAGGCTCAGCAGTACAACATTCATTAACAAGGACGTTGGTTTTATCCCCAGGGCCAGAGAGAGGACCAAGTACCTGACGGAAGGTAGTACTTATTACTGCTATCATTTTTAATGCTATCATTTTAATTAAATATTTTATTATTTGTGCCAGGCATGGTGGTGTGTGCCTTTAATCCTAGCCCTCGGGAGGCCGAGGCAGGTGGATCTTTATTTATTTATTTATTTTTGGTCTTTTTGAGACAGGGTTTCCTTATAGGCCCAGCTGTCCTGGAACTATGTGGACCAGGCTGGCCTTGAACTCACAAAGATCTGCCTGCCTCTGCTAGGATTAAAGGCATGCGCCACCACACCCAGCTAATTTTTAAAATTTCTTTTTGATTTTTTAACATTTTATTTATTATTTTTATGTGTATTAGTGTATTACCTGTATGTAAGTGCACCTGTGTCATACAATGCCCATTAAGTCAAAAGTAAGCATGTTGGATCCCCTGGAACTGTAATTGTAGATGGTCGTTAGCCACCATATGGGTGGTAGGAATTGTACCTGGGTCCTCTGCATTAACAGCAAGTGCTCTTATCCGCTAAGCCATCTCTCCAGCCCCTTATTTATTTTTATTTTATATGTATTAGTATTATGCCTACATGTGTGTTAAGTGCACCTGTGTCGTGCAGTGCCCCAGAAGGTCAGAAGAGGGCGTCTGATCCCCTGAACAGGAGTTACAAATGGTTGTTAGCTGCCACGTGGGTGCTGGGAATTGAAGCTAGGTTCCTGGGAATAGAAGAGGTGAGCCATCTCTCCAGCCCCTCCTCCTACCTAATGTTTTAGAACAAAGTGTTTCGAAGATTGAAAGTCACCTAGACATGGCGGGAGGCATCGTTGAGACCAACTTTTAGACTAAGAACCCAGGCTCTTCCTGTCTTCCAAAGCGCCAGGAACCCTAGCGCGCCCCTCCCGCGCTTGGCCACGCCCTGTCGCTCCTGGGTCCGCCCCTGCGGCCCCGCCCTGGCCCACTCTTCGCGGCCTCCGCTAGTCTCGCGCTAGTCTCGCGGTCTTTCACTGTGTGAGAGCTCATCAGCCCGGACCGGCGGTTGGTCGGGCGAAACCATCTTCCTCCTTCCGTGGGGGAAACCCAAAGCCACTATTGCCACAGTTTTCTTAATACTTCGCTTTTCAGACCCGGATATTCATCTTTCTGTAGCTACACACTTATTATCGCGCGTTCGAAGCCAGGATGGGAGCTGAGCCGCGGAGGCGAGCGAGCTGCGGAGGTCTCGAGCGTTGCGCTCCCCTCTTGACGGGGCACGGGTGGGCGCGGCCAAAGGCAGGCGGGGGCGGGAGGCGGCCGTAGCGCCATTTTGTGGGCACGAAGCGGTAGCTCGGCTGCTCTTGGATCCTGTGCGACCTCCATTTCTTCGTCGTGCTTCCTAGCAGAGGTCTAGCGGGTGAGTCGCTCGCTGTGGCTGTCCTGTGTGCTTCGGTCCCGCCTTGGGGAAGTCTGGGGCCACAGCCACAGGGACAGAGCCGTGGGGCCCGGACTGCCGGGGCGCGCGCGTCCCCGTCGTTGAGGCCTGGCGGGGGCGGGAGCGAGGGCGCCGGGCCTGTGGAGCCTGCCGGGCTGAGCGGACCGGGGCTGGAGCATGCTCGCTCACCTTTGGGATCCGTAGTTGCCTCTCTAGGCCTCGGGCCCCCGGCGGCCCCACCCCGGGACACTTGGGGGTAAAAAAAAAATTCCCTTGGCCCTCGCGCAAGGGCTTCTGGGAGGTGGCGGCCTGCACTTCGACGGACCTGGGCCTCCCGGCTCGCCGCGTTAGTTAGCGATCCCCAGGCGGAAATGAGGAACCGAGAGGCTCCGAGCCTCTGTTCCCGCCGGTTCGCACCGGTTTCCCGGCTTGCGCCTCCGCGCCCTACCTTAAGGAATGCCTTCCTAGCGAAGTTCTTGGACCTACTTGGGCATGTGCTTGCCTGATGGTCTCAGCCCCGAGAACGAATTCTATTGGCTGTGGACACGAAGTACTTAACTACAGTAACTACACGATCCGCACGAGCCTGTAACTCCAGCACCCCGGGAACGTAAGCGTGTGCTACACGATACTATCCCCCCTCCCCAAAAAAGTAATAAAATTGGAAAAGAAATAGTTATTTCTTTATGGATTTCCGCTTGTTTGCAGCTGGTTTTGTAACCGTCAACCAGCACCCCGGGAACGTAAGCGTGTGCTACACGATACTATCCCCCCTCCCCTAAAAAGTAATAAAATTGGAAAAGAAATAGTTATTTCTTTATGGACTTCCGCTTGTTTGCAGCTGGTTTTGTAACCGTCAAGCCACGTGGTGACTCTTGCAAGAAGTGTAAGCGCAAACTCCTGAATGGGTGATCTGGCAAGACATTAGATTTTAATAAGAAACCACTCCCCTTTCCTTTGTTTGCCTCCTCGATTTTCAGGGATAACAACTGAAATCGAGAATCCATTGCAAGAGTCTTCTGGAGGTTGGAGTAAGGCTGTGGAGGTGTGTGTTTGCTGAGTGTAAGGAGTTGCTCTGACAACTGTTGGTCATTCAAACCTCTCTTCCTTTTAAGAGAACAAAGCCAAGATGTCTGAATATATTCGGGTAACAGAGGATGAGAACGACGAGCCCATTGAAATACCATCCGAGGACGATGGCACTGTATTACTGTCCACCGTCACTGCCCAGTTTCCAGGGGCGTGTGGCCTTCGATACAGGAATCCAGTATCTCAGTGTATGAGAGGGGTCCGACTGGTGGAAGGAATTCTGCATGCTCCTGATGCTGGCTGGGGAAATCTGGTATATGTTGTCAACTATCCCAAAGGTTTGTTAATCCACTTGGTTTTTGCACTGTTGCTGGCTATGCTCTGACTTGTATCTCATCCTAAGTAGATCGTTGTTGTTTAATTCTTGGGGTACGGTTACTGGGCATGTGACACAAGGCCTCGTAGTTGCCAGGCAAATAGTCAACAGTTGGGCTCCATGTTCATAGCATGGCCTATTTCCACAGCAGAATAAAATGTCTCCTGTAACCCAGCTATTTTAATCATATGTGCCTGTGTGTACACAAACCCATTAGTACATGGAGGCCAGAGGTGTCAGATCCCCCAATCTGGAATTACTGGTGGTTGTTGGTCATCTAATGTGGGTGCTGGGAATTGAACTCGGGCATTGGGAAGAGCAGTACGTGCTCTTAACCATGGAGCCAGCTCTCAAATTTTTTTAAATTTATTATTTTTATTTTATGCGTGCGCGCTTGTGTGTGTGTGGCCTGCATGTAGGTAAGCGCACCCGTGTCGTGCAATGCCCACGGAGGTCAGAAAAGGCTGTTGGATCCCCTAGGACTGGAGTTAATGGACAGTTGTTAGTTGCCATGTGGGTGCTGGGATTCGAACCCTGGGTCTTCTGCAAGAACAGCCAGTGTTCTTAACTGCTGAGCCATCTCTCCAGCCCCCTCAATTGTTTTCTTAAACTTTGTTTTAGAATAAATTAGTGGAAATGGAGATAATTATAAGGTGATAGCTACACTTAAATATTGAACTGTCTGAATGGTAGTTGCCAAGTTGATGCAAAATTGAGGGAATTAATAACTTAATTAGTGCCTTCAAGTTCTGTCTGTCCTGTCAGTAGATTCTTATAAAGTGTCCCAGGATTTTGGTTCATTTCCCTTGCTTGGCTTCTTTTTTTTCCTAATATTTTATGTGTATGAGTGTATTGCCTACATGTAAGTGCACTCATGTGCAGGAAGAGGGTGTCTTCTTATTTGTCTAATCTCTACCTTAAATGCACATCAGTTGCAGTGGCCCAGATCTTGAGTTAATTTCAAGGTTCTGGTCTTAACATTCACTGTCTCTTAGCACTGCTGTTGTAAATCTAAAGGAAAACAAGTATGTCTAGGAAGTAGGTGCATTTCAGCAGTGTAAGTGGATAGCGATCAGTAAATCTGTATTACAACAATACCGCGACAAAGTGCTCCACACACCTGTAATCCCAGCACTCAGAGGGCTAAGGCAAGAGAATTGCAAGCTTGAGGCCAACCTGGCTATAGTGAGTTCGTGGCCAGTCTGCTTTGAGACACTTCCAAATCACCAGATTTAGTCAATATGCAAAGGTGACATATGTCTAGGAAAATTTGGGGTCGGGGAGCTTGAAATGGGGTCTCTGCCCCAAGCTGGCCTAAACTTGATTTTACATTGTTCTGATTCTTGAGCTATTGGCTATAGCTTAGGGTCTACCCTGAATTAAAATGACATTCAGTGGTGTTGCATACATAAAATCTTCAGGAGGAACACAAATTTGAGACTACCAAGGGTTGTTGTGTCAGAATGAGCAAGGGCCTGGGGATGCAGCTCACAGGAAGTGTGGTCGTCCTGGGTTTAATCCCAGAGGGGGACATGTCATTTATCTGAGTGAAATAGTGCATTATCAGTAATTCCCACAGGAGGATGAGACCAGAGAATTACTTGAGTTTAGGTGTTTGAGACCAACTTGGGCAGCATGAGGCTCTGTCTCAGTAAAACCAAACAAAAGGCATGGTGGTGCACGCCTTTAATCCCAGCACTCAGGAGGCAGAGGCAGGCGGATCTCTGAGTTCAAGGCCAGCCTGGTCTACATAGTGAGTTCCAGGACAGCTGGGGCTACAGGGAGACCCTGTCTCAAAAGACCAAGAAAAAAATCCCTTAATTCTTCCTTTTAAACAAATAACTTTTTAAGTTCCATTTGGCTTAATTGTTTGTTGTTACAACAAAATTTATATTCATTGTTGAAAGTCTGGAAAAGACAAAAAAAACTTAAATTATCGTTAAATTCACATGTGGAGATTAAAAGTTGAGAATTTTCTTACATAAAGCTTCTAGATTATATAATTGGCATTCCATAATTAAATGTATTCAACACCACAAAGTTAAAATGAAATAGAATTATTTTTGTTTTGGTACAGCTTTTGAGAAAGAACATGCAATTGATTGTAATCTTCATCTATTTATTTATTTTTGGTTTTTGAAACAGGGTCTCCCTGTAGCCCCAACTGTCTTGGAACTCACTGTGTAGACCAGGCTGGCCTTGAACACAGAGATCCACCTGCCTCCGCCGCCCAAGTGCTGGGACTACAGGCGTGCGCCACCACACCTGGTGATTATAATCTTAATATACTACAAAACCAGGTTCAGGAAGATAGCCTAGCAGGTAAAAGTACCTGCCAAGCAAGCCTCACAACCTGAGTTCTATCTATAGTCCTGGTAAAAAGCTCACTGGAAGCTTGCAGGCTAAGTAGTCTGCGGTATGCTTCAAAGTAGCAGAAACTACAAGAGACCCTGCCTAACAAGGTAGAAGGTGCTGGCCAGCTCCCAGAAGTTATCCTTTGCCCTCCAAACAAGTCCATGGCACCCACCGTGTATGCACAGAGACACCCTTAGAGAGAGAATGTAAAACCAGAGTTGAGCCAGCCATGGCGAGTTCAAGGCCAGCTGGGGCTAGAGAGACCCTGTCTCAAAAAGACACCCCCCCACCCCCAAAAAAACTAGAGTTGAGAATCTGAGTTTGTACCAGAAAAGCACCTCAGTAATGAACTCAAGCCACATTCTGTCCTTGAGAGGAGGCTTACCAAAAGTTGTCAGGTCTTCATGGTTCTTAGAGCACTTTTTTACCTTATTTCTAAAATGATGGAGATAGTTTTTTATTGTTGTTTCGTTTTTAGTGTCAAATTAAGGTTTCTGTGTTTTGTCTAGATAACAAAAGGAAAATGGATGAGACAGATGCCTCCTCAGCAGTGAAAGTAAAAAGAGCAGTCCAAAAAACCTCTGATTTAATAGTGTTGGGTCTCCCATGGAAAACAACTGAACAGGATCTTAAAGACTACTTCAGTACTTTTGGAGAAGTTCTTATGGTACAGGTAAGCTTTGATGCTGTTTAACAGGTTCTCTTTGTTGGGTCATTGAGAACTAGTGTTAACTCCTGCAATATTGAAGTTTGCTTTGTGTACATACCATATATTGCCCTCAGTTCTGTACAGCACTACAGTCTGACAGTTTGAGGGACATAGGTTACATTTCCTTTAAGATACGTTTTCAGTAAGCTAGCTCTTTTCTTCACGTATGAATGGTAGATTTTCTGCTTTTCCCACTTAAGATTTGTAACCCAGTCTAATTTATCTTGGCACTCATTCATTCTAAAGCATTCTGCTGCTATCCTAAGACTAATTTAATTTTACATTGTAATTAGCCACTGCATCCAGGGTGTGTATAATGTTAGAATAATTTCAGTCATCTTTCCTAGGTTAAGAAAGATCTTAAAACTGGTCATTCGAAAGGGTTTGGCTTTGTTCGTTTTACGGAGTATGAAACCCAAGTAAAAGTAATGTCACAGCGACACATGATAGATGGCCGATGGTGTGACTGTAAACTTCCTAACTCTAAGGTATTTTGTTTTTTATGCTTTGGGAATTTTTGCTGACAAGCTCTCTTTAAGAGTAACTAAAATATCTAAATGCACTTGGAAAAGTTAATAGATTATGATCCTGAAATTGTTTGCCCATTGACATCCAAAGATTGCAATGTGTACTGAATATTTAATGCTGATTTGAAATACTTAGTTTAACTCTTCTAAATTAAAGCTTTGGCTGTGTGTGTGGTGCTGAAAACTGATACTTGCTAGGGAAGTGTTCTACCACTGAGCCCCAGCCCAGATTTTATTTTACTCATCCTTGAGTGAGCAGTAAAGAGGGGAGGGGATCT